GCATGCTCATTTTTTAGAATAGCTCTCTTCATTTCAAATATTTTCAGCAATGCATTGTTGCTGCTTTTATCAAAAAGAAGCAACAACTTTGATTTTCCTAATAGAATACCCTGTATTTTATTGCATTCTCAGATTCTCCCTCAAGAGCTGATTTCATCGATACATCACACTCGGGGTCTATCGGAAATGATTACAGAGATATAGGGTGTTCAAAATCGAGAATTTTTTAACTTTAGGATTTGTTTGTGTGGAAACTATTCATTATCAGCCAAAACGACTCATACGGCCCTAATCATTTTTGATAGACCCCAAGTGTGATATATTAATGAAATCAGCTCTTCAGGGAAAATCTAAAAATGCGATGAAATGCAGGGTATTCCATTTGAAATATCAATGTCGCTACTACTTTCTAGTAGAAGCGGCAACACTGCTTTGTCGATAATATTTTATATGAAGAGAGCGTATTCTGAAATATAAGTATGCACATTTTCATGAATTTCTCCAGACTGATTTTCGATATAAAGATGGTATAAGCTCGTCGTGACATATTAAATTGATTGTAAAAGATTGAAGACACATCGATAGGGAGTGATTGGAATCACCAAAGTTTCCTCTATCTACAGGTATTGTATGTACATTCAAATCTGAAACACCTTGTATAGAGAAAAGGTATTTTTCCATGAAAAAATTTCGAATCGTCTTATTTTCTTCTGGTTTGCTCGTTTCGAATTATTATCTTGAAAGTATACAACGAATAGACGTTTCTTATCTCGAAAACATATAAGGTAATGAAGTTAAATATAAATAGGGAAATATGAGGAAAAACAGAGAATCTATATTCACTCACCAGCGTGAAAACTGCGAAGCTTTGATGGTAATCACTGAATAAAATGAGGGACACAATAACACAATACTTGCACTCATTTACAAGTGAACACTTCGTTTGGAACGATAAATAATTCCTTTCGCGTATTTATCAATTGCGATCACAAAATTTGACCGTACGTGATGACATCTAATTTAAGACTGTCTTGATTTACCACCTGGTCCCGAATGAATGACTAATAAGTTGAATCATGCTTTTAACCGATTAATTTCCGAACAAACGATTTATCTATGACCAATGATGATAATGGAATTATACGGGGAGGAGTCTGCAACTAATGATAATTATACGGGGTAAAAAGAGATATATAGTATACAAAATATAAGATGAAGTATTGAACACGAATATACTGACAGTATTATTTTAGAAAGTCTTATATGATTCGAAAAAATTTAACCTAGGCTGAAAATATAATCTTTCCCAAAATATCTAGATATGTTTTGTTAACTGGAAAGAAGAGGAAAATAATGAACAATGTGGTCTACTTTTTATAAGCGCGCATCCAAATTGACATTTGGTATAATAATAATATGTTTATTTCGATAGAATCAGAATCAGGACACAATGGAAGAAATAATGATAGCAAGTTGACATTAGGTAGAAGCGGCGACACTGCATTGTCGAAAATATTTCAAATGAAGAGAGCGTATTCTGAAATATAAGTATGCATATTTTCATGGATTTCTCCCGACTGATTCTCGATATAAAGATAGTGTAAGCTCGTCGTGACATACCCTGTATATTATATTGATTATAGAAGATGGAAGACACATATCGATAGGGAGTGATGGGAATTACCAAAGTTTCCTCTAACTACAGTTATAGTATGTACAGGGTGGCCAACTAAGAATCCAGAGTTCGATACCTCTGTTGTCTTGAGAGATACAAAAAAAATTCAAGAATCAAAATTGAAGTAATAACCGAGCTTCACATTTCAAAATTTCTTTGAAATACACAGGGTGTTCCGTACGGTCACAGCACATCAAAGCTATGTTTTTTTCATCGGAACACCCTATATTTTATTCCATTTTCGAATTTTCCCTGACGATCTGATTTCAACGACGTATCATACTCAGGGTCTAGCAGTGAAAGTTACTGACATATAGGGTGTGCAAAATCGCGATTTTCCAAGTTCAGGATTTTTTTCTGTCGAAACTGTTCATTATTCGTCAAAACGGTTTACATGTCCCTATCCCAACTTTTCACTCACTATCAATTGGTGTTCAATTGACATTCAATTGAAACAAATTATAAATTTAGATTTTTTGACCACCTTGTATCAATTTCAATTGAACACCAATTGATAGTGACTGAAAAGTTGAGATAGGAACATGTAAACCGTTTAGACGAATAATGAACAGTTTCGACAGAAAAAAATCCTGAACTTGGAAAAACTCGATTTTGCACACCCTATATGTCAGTAACTTTCACTGCTAGACCCTGAGTATGATACGTCGTTGAAATCATATCTTCAGGGAGAATTCAAAAATGAAATAAAATATAGGGTGTTCCAATGAAAAAAACATATCTTTGATGTGCTGTGACCGTACGGAACACCCTGTGTATTTCAAAGAAATTTTGAAATGTGAAGCTCGGCTATAACTTCAATTCTGATTCTTGATTTTTTTTTGTATCTCTCAAGACAACAGAGAAATCGAACTCTGGAGTCTTAGTTGGCCACCCTGTACATTCAAATCTGAAACACCTACAGCTTCAACTATACGAGGTGGAAAAACTTCAAATTTGAAAGTTATAATAGGGTTTCATCTGTACCATATTTCGGCACTCTTTAATAAACAAAAATATATAATGTTTGATCAATTTTGCAATACTTCCACTACGGAATAACCCGTTTATATCGAAAAACCGACAGAGATGTCTTTTCCATGGCATTTCTATTGTGCCCACAGTTACCTAAATGTTATTGGCAACTTTGATTGAATGCTAAATAAGTGAAAAATGATTTGAGGAAGCATTAGCAAACTATATACAGGGTGTTTCAATATGATTTAGAGAAGGCAAGCATTACAAATAAAACCATAAATTACCCACCTGCACATGCATGTTCTTTCTTGCCCAGCCTTGTGTATTGCAGTTCGATAGTCAAAGGCAATGAATTTGCTTCTTTATTTTCATTATAAAAATATTTGAAAGAAAAACAACCATACTTATTTTTCCAAGTCCAAGTTTCTGGAGACATTTCCCCATAAACAGAATATAGGAACTACAAATAAGATTCAATTATCAGTAATAAATATATCTATGAATTACAAATTTACTTTATTGTTTTCATTATAGGACCAATGAAGTGAAGAAAGGTAGGAAGTTTTTGTTGGAACTGCCAGCATCCCGTTTTCAAATTCATATTCGATTCTCAACGTTTATCCATTTCTTCCATTCAACAGAACTGATTTTATATCATCAGAAAAGACTTCTTAAGTGCAGGAAATTCATTTTTTAGAGATTTGTTGATTCTAATTTCAAAAATAATATAGAATTGAGTAGGCAATTAATATAAAGTACATGTCTTGTACTAAAGAGAAGCAAGAAGAGAAAATTAAGGAAATTTGTTGAATGAAATTCATGAATCTCAATCAACACAATAACAATAATGACCTTGAATTACGTCCTAAACTGGTTCAAATTTGCCCACCAGATGTCGTATCGAAATCGTCACTTTTACAGAGACTGCATTTAATGAAGTCACTGTAGTCACCTTGCCAACTGACGGCTAAATATCTAACCCGTCAGACAGTCTAGATATTGAGCCGTCATTGCTATAAGTGCAGCACCAGTTCGGGCGGACCACCCAACGGAGCAACGGAACTCGCGAGAATGACGTATTGTCACATGTCTCTGTCATCAGGGCCACAGAATAGTTAGTTAGGTATTCTGTGTCAGGGCCATATTTGCTATTTTTTGCAAAAAACAAGGAAACTGACCATCTGACATTGAAAATTAACTGAAGACTAGACTCTAGTAGTATTGACATTGACGTCAACGCCAATTTCTCAAAATGGCACCAAATCCCAAGGACCAAATCCATACAAAATCCATCGTGGATATAATGAAATCAATCGAATTTATTCATAAATATCAAAATATTTTCATAGTCAGAATAAAAAATAGCTCGGAAAAATGGCTAAATGGCTAGATGCAATTTTTATTAGTAGCTAGATGAGTTAAAAAATGGCTAGAACTAGCCATAAAATGGCTAAGTTGGCAGCACTTCTTGGCAACAACGGCAACCCTGCTTTGACCGCCGACCGCGACTGGTTGTTTTTTTGAAGATCCACGTATTTCTCAAATTTTCAATTTATTTAAATTATTATATAACAAAAATGGCAAGTATCTCATCTGTTGTATCCAAATTTTACAATGAATATGCCAGCAAGACGCCTAAGAAACTGAAAGTTATTGATGCATATTTATTCTACATCCTTTTGACTGGGATAGTTCAATTTGTTTACTGTTTGTTGGTGGGTACGTTCCCATTCAACTCATTCCTAAGTGGATTTATATCTTCTGTTAGCTGTTTTGTATTGGCTGGTAAGAACTCAATTTAGCTCTACTGTAATCTAGGTTTCAATATCGATATCATTTCCAGTGTGTCTGAGACTCCAGGTGAACCCAGAGAATAAAAATCAGTTCAGTGGAATCAGTCCTGAAAGAGGCTTTGCAGATTTCATCTTCGCCCATGTAGTACTTCATATAGTTGTCATGAATTTTGTGGGATAAAAATATGAACTTTAATATTGATTGTGGATTTGTAATCAAATATCAAATATATACATCCTATTAGTTTTTGTAATATTTTTTATCCATCATCGAATCATTGCAGTTCAACACATTTTATCTAATCAGTATTGACATTGTATAAGTGGTAATTAGGTATTGGTAGGTATACATACTCTCTAATGAGACAATTATTGATCTAAAACTAACGAACTTTGCTCACTTCACTGGTTCTTTCTGAAGGAGGCCTATATAATAATCAAGGTGGAAATAGACTGAAAACAGTTTTAATTCACCACTTCTGGTGTAACGTGTAACTGTTGAAGCAACATAACCTAACATAAGTGTCACTTTTGACATTCCACAAATATAAATAAAAATGATAGGAAAAAAAGCAATGGGAGATTATTTTGAAAAGGGTGATATATCAGTTCCGAAATATGGATTCAAAGTGAAGTTGAATAATGTTTATCCAGAAAAAAGGAACCAGCGCTATATCCCATCTATACCAATGATAATCAAGATGTTGCCAATGATATTGAGGTACCCAACTCACTATTTTCACCCTTTTCAGCTTTTGGACTTCAACAAATTTTAAATTCCAGGTATTTATTGTATTATATTAAAACTAAATGGTCAGGCAAATATATAGAAATGGACTATATCAATTCAAGAGAATCACAACAAATATATGGTAAGTGAACAATACTTTTGTTTTATATGCTGTTGTACTAGAGGTTATTCAGTGGCAAGTGCCATATAAAGGTATTATAGACAAAGCTGAAGAATTAAGAAAATTCACATACATTTTTCCCTGGAAATGTCTTTTACGAGGTCTTTTATTTTTGACATTTTTATGTTTCATTTTCTTTCTTCATTAGTATTTATTCTTCATATATCATGATCTGAGCTCTGTTGTTTGTCTTTCTTTATGTTATTAGTTTGTAATAATACCCTGTCACAGCCGTCTATATCTATATTATCTAATTGAATATACAGGGTGAGTCAGTTTTTTGTAGCAGGCTTCAACAGCTCAAAGAAGTTACAATTAGAAGATGAAAATCACATGTAAACATAAATGCCTAGAAGTCACTTTTCCGATATACAGGTGGTGTGATAATTTCATTTTTTTGTTGTTTGGCACTGATTTTCATTAAGCCATCTCATAAAAGCTTTTGATCATTCCAGCTCATCTAGGCAATAATCTGGAATAAATGTCAAATAGAGAGTGTTCAAAAATGAAAGTTTTATCACAAGTAAATTTATTTTTGCATTTACCAAATTCGAATTCATTATCTTGAAGATTTTCGGCGGCAAAATAGATGTACACAATGTTCGGAAATGAATGGCAATACTTGGGCATTATAGGCATTATCGGCATTATTCGAAAATGATTGGCACTAAATGGCAATAGTCGGCATTGAAGAAGAAATACAGAAATAGGCGGCATTAAAAGTCGGAATTATTAGGCAATAGCCGGCAATAGATATGAAATATTCGAAAATAGATCGGCAATAGTCAGGAACAAACTGCACTGAATGACATACATACCAGAAAAATGAAGTGGAGAGGGGCGCCTTTTCTTCATTTATGTAATCATGTTGTTTTTATTTAGATTTCCAATAGGTTAGGTATATGTATTTTATTCCAAATACCTCAACTCCTAATATATTGAATGTGACAGGACACAATACCCGAGGATATACCTATATATCTAAACTTTGCCGAAAAAATAATATCGTGAAATCAGTGTTGGTACTTGAAGCCCTAGACAATGACAGCGAGATATCTAGACTGTCTGACGGGTTATACATGACTGTCCAATCAGCGAAAATCGCCAAAATCGCCCTGTAATGAAATTTCGGAGGGACGGCATGTGGCGTCATCTATTTCCTGTGTCAAATGAGCTATTCATCATAACCTGAATTATTTGCCCTAAAGCTGAACTTGAATTACACTGAAGTGACATTTTCACGGAGTTTTCCAAACGGACATGACAGATTTTGAAGATTAATTACCACCTGAAACGCTATAAAAATCAAAATACCATAAATTGAATGAATGACCTCAATTAAGCTGTCTACAATGGACAATATAATATTCAAAGAGAAAAAATCACTCAGGAAATCGAAAAAATACCCACATAAATAAATGAATCTTGAACCTTCAATTCTGTTTGCAAATTTTGAAATCTTTTTAGTGAATTAATATTTTCATTTGATATAACAAAATAGGTTCATTTAATTGATTTTAATTCAGTATAAATTATAGAGTTTTTCTGCGTCCTATATCAGAAAAAGTGATAGAATATTAAAAACAGTTATTCAATGTTTTATGTGACCCGTACGCCTCTCATTGTATCTCAAAATTTTCCAAAGCCTACTTATTTCAAGAACCACAGAATATACAAAGAGTCAGAACTCTGTTGAAAGTTATAATGAAAAAACTGTTTCATCAGCTCACTCTGTATTTTGGTAAGATATTTTGAGAGAAAAATTCATTTGAACGATAGAAAATCACAAAAAATATAGAAAAATATTAAAGCTTTGTCTATGCAATATGCAAGCCCTTATCGAATAACTGGTACTTGGTATTGAATAATTTTGTATACTTACATGCTATATACAGGGTGGCATTGAAATAAGTGCAAATATTTCAAATAACACTGGCCGTTTACTATCGAATGACACTAATACAAAAAATTTAGGGATCAAAATTAAATTTGAGGTTAGACCCTTTTTTCCACACAAAGTTTTACACTGTAGCAAATCTGACGTCACCTCTTTTCATGCGGTAGGCACAATCACGCCGAATTCAATCATTTAAATTGTTTTAAAGTGGGGTATTTGATTTTTTTCTCGTATTTTGTTCAATTTTTGGGATGAAATTTCTCGTTAATCAGCAGAATTAGAAAAAATCTGATATCATGGGAATATTCCTTAGACTGTTTCCTATTGATGTTCTGAATATGTGCACTCATTTCAAATACACCTTGTATAACTTTGAAATCTTTTACGATCGTAGGTGTCCCAATTGGTGGAATTGGTTGTGGGACCATTGGGAGAGGTTACAGAGGAGAGTTTTGTAGATTTCAAATGCGTCCTGGTTTATATGAGGTCAATACTGTTGAAGCTAATCAGTTTATAATAACAGTAAAAGACGAAAATAATCATACAATTTTGCAGAGCTTATTATCGAATTTTCCGTGAGTTTTCAAATTCAAATGTCATAGCACCAGAGTCTAGTATTTGATTCCAGAAAGAAAAAACTGTCAGCTTGGACTAGTACCATTGATTCCAGTAAATGTACCTACACAGGCTTATACCCTAGATCATGGACAGAATATGATCTTTCTGAATATGGAATCAAACTTGTGTGTAGGCAAATAAGCCCTGTGATACCTCATGATTATGATGTAAGAGCAAACTAAAAATAATTGGAAAATAATATAATACTGTCTGTAGGTAAATCGAGGAGGTGGTATATTCATTTTTCCAGATTTTTTGGGATTTTCTCTCTTCTTATCTACAGTGTGTCCACCTTAAGGACTTACCACCCCTGAAAAATCGTTATTATCCGACCAATTTCAAAAAACCTTTTTTTGTTGGATAGGTATTTGAAATGCCCATCCAACGAGAGAGTGATCTCTAATTCTTGGACTGTTATCGTGGCCAACTGCGACAAATTTCAATGACCCATATTCCAGAAAGTACTATTAGGGATTTTTTTCCACGAAACTCGATGATGAATTCTGAATCAGTACCACTTGAAATATACCTGCACCGATTTTCATCATCATAAAACACAGGGTGTCCGAAAAAACGAATCATCATTTTCTTCAAATAGGTGATCAGCAAATGTAGTTCTGTGGTTTTTCTAGAAAGAAATAATCACAAATTATCATTGAGGATTATTTCAAATATACCTGTACCAATTTTCGTCATTTGAATATACAATGTGTCTGAGAAAAAAATTAAAAAGGATAGGTAAGCGATATTTTTCGTCCTGATAATAATTCATCACTCAAAATAAAAAGATGAATCAGGATCACTTGGAACATACCTGTACCGATTTTCATCATCATTAAACACAGGGTGTTCGAAAAATCAAATTAATATTTTTTTTGAGTTGATGAAAAAAGATTACCTACTTTTTCTTTCTAATTGTTTTCTCATACACATCGTATTCTTGAATGATGAAAATCGGTACAGATATGTACAAAGTGATCCTCAATAATAATGTGTCATCAATTCATCTCAAAAATACCATAATACTACATTTTCTGATCACCTATTAAAATAAACATAATTCGATTTTTCGAAAACCCTGTGTTTTATGATGATAAAAATCAGTAAAGGTGTTTTTCTCGTGATTCAGAATCCATCATTGTTTTTTGTGAAAAAAATCCCTAATAGTACTTTCTCAAATATGGGTCAATAAAGTTGGTCGCAGTTGGCCATGATTACAGTTCATGAGTAAAATCACTCTCTTGTTGGATGGACATTTCAAATACCTATCCAACAAAAAAAAGTTTTTTGAAATCGGTCAGATAATAAAAATTTTACAGGGGTGGTAAGTCCTTAAGGTGGACACACTGTATAAAATGAAAATATGAATACTATTTCAATATACGTTTAGTTAAGACAAATCAGATGATTTGCCCCAAAATGTCACTGAGTTTAAAGAATTTTCCTATCAGAGAGCCTATAAAAGAAAAATTCACCAGCTTGTAAGTGACAATTTGTATTGAAAAAGGTTTTGAGAAGAGAAATAAAGGTATATAGAAAAAATATCAAATTTTTACTAATCTTTGGACGTTTCGGGAACGAATCTGCTCCCGTTTTCAACATAAAAAATGGATTTTTTGTATTGAAAATTCGTATTTGTCCTGACACTTTTCAGTTCTTAGTGACAATGGGCGTGTACACCTTGGTAGAACTTTTAACTCAAACCATGTTTATAATGATCCTTTCATACATAAATAATGATTGACGACATAATTCGATCGAAAAATTTACTGGAATGTTCAATTTTTGGACATAAATAATAGTACCATCTGAAAACGGACCCTTTTATGACGTAGAAACCTCATCTCGCCATAGTTAAAAGAAAATACCCAACGACGGACGGAGACTAAGGCAACTGATATATTAATTCTTTCAACTGTGATCTCGCGCTAATTCACTCTGCCAGAAATCATGTATCATTCATCTCTGTCTGGAATAGTCCTGTTTCAGTATTAGGGTTTTGACGTCACATCATCGCCTCGTTTTCAGAGGTCCGAAAAATCGGGGATTTCAATAATTTTTTATAAAACATAGGGAGCTCACAGCGATAAACGGTTTGCGGTGGTGAGCTAGTTTGGGTGAGTTCTATCGAATTATGGAATAATTTTTTTTTGTGATATAAGCCCATTGGTGACGTTGGCAATCAAATGTTGAAAACGGGAGCAGATTCGTTCCCGAAACGTCCAAAGATAAGTAAAAATTTGATATTTTTTCTATATACCCTCATTTCTCTTCTTCAAACATTTCTCAATACAAATTGTGACTGACAAGCCGTGAATTTTTCTTTTAGGCCCTCTGATAGGAAAATTCGTTAAACGCAGTGACATTTTGGGGCATATCAACTGATTTGTCCTAACTACACGTATATTGAAATAGTATTCATATTTTCATTTTATAGAGACGACGAGAGAAAATCCCAAAAAATCTGGAAAAATGAAAATAATATCATTTTGGTATTTCTCAATTTTCAGAATAGTTGTTTACCATGTGCTGTTTTTGTATGGAGTATACAGAACATATCAAGCAGCCCAAGAACAGTAACAATTGCTTTTACTTTCAAAAATGGAACTGGGAGCTGGACAGACTCAAACTGTTAGTAGTTCTACTACTTGATTATGTCCTAAAATGATCTATTTCATTGATGTGATTCTTTTCTAGCAACCTGTAGCACTAAATCATTTTCATATGAAAACACAGAAGGTGTTATTTTGCACCATACAATAGACAAAATGCAATGCAGTTATGCCCTGGCCACAAAATCAGATGCAGACATCACAGTTTCAAAATGTTTATACTTTGATCCAAACTCAGATGGATCAGAAATATGGGATCAACTGAGTACAAATGGAGAATTTGATAAACCCAAAAACAAAGATCACGGTTTCGTTCACTCTGAAATGGCATGTGGTATCGCCACTAAGGTGACTGTACCCCCCCAAGGTGGCAAACAGGTAGACATGAATTTGGTGTGGGAAATGCCTACAATAAATTTCATCAACAATCAAAAAAGCTACAATAGGTTTTACACAAAGCAATTTGGGACAGAAAATGCAGTGTTGAAAATTGTCTCCTATGCTTTTGAGAACTACCAAAAGTGGGAAGAAAGTATTGAAAATTGGCAGAAACCAGTATTAGATGATGAGTAAGCTTTTAATTTTTTATATTATCAAAGTGACTCATATGCTATCTTATCAAATGGTAGGCTTGACATATTCAATTTTGAATATATTTTTCGTGGGGCCATACATGGGGTTCTACAAATTGTAATTGATAAGCTGATGTAATCTGTCCTCATTCCAATAGTTATTTATGATAAGAAAATTCCCAAAAAACCTATGACATATATAATAATTGAATATTAATTTTTATATTTGTATTTTATTGATTTAATAATCTTTATTTGAAATAGGAACATCCTAATTTACATACATTTCTGATATTTGTAATTAGTTATAGAAATACTCAATGCTAAACAAAGAATGCTAATAATATACAGGGTGTTTCAAAAAAACCTGACCCCCTTACTAGGGTAGGTAGAACACTGCAAAATAAGTTGGGTTTACTCAGAGAAAAAAATTCGTAACGGCATCCGTTATCAAGATACAAGGTGTTGAAAAAATTATTTTTTTACACATTTTTCAAGATTATGTCGAAACTACTGGCAACATTGTGATGAAATTTTGTATGGATGTTTCTTGAAATCTGACACATCGCATGCATTTATTTTTATACCTGACTCTCATAGAGGGCGCTAGTTACACGGTTCGTACCGAGTATTTTTTTAACATAACTTTTTTGAGGTTAGATTTTTCAATCCAAATTTTATGTGGACTTGAACATCATTCAATTTCACACCAAAAAGATACTCTTGATAAAACTTGATACTGTGTTCCGTTTTCGGAATATTTCGATCTGAAAATGATGAAGTGATAACTGTAGCTGTAAGCTATGTATTAGAGTGAGTATTATGAAAAATTATCACCTATTTATTGAAAACCGGGAACAACAATACATTTCTGATGCTAAACTTATTGATTTAACAATGAATCACTAGAATAACATCGAAACAGATTTGACTAAGAACATGGATTACATAGTTCTGTTGTTTCTTGAGCAGAAAGTCTATGCTACATATGTAAATTCACGTCAAGAGTTGTAATACATAATTGAATATCACTTAAACTACATAACAGCTGATCCTCAACTGTTTAGAAGAATAATACATTCTTAAGAAAAGAATATAGAATCGTGAATTCCTCGAAACGTAGGACATTTTGAACACTTACTCTAACTGATTCAATATTTCATGTTTCTAGTCAAATATCTCTCAATTTTCTACTCATGATTCTTTATTCCATCAATACTTCCAGCACAAAGATAATTGTATTGTTTTTGAATCTGAATAAATAGGTAATTCAACTCAATAAAATTTATTTTATACCAGCTTCGTTACTACTCAATTATTTTCAAATCGAAATATTCCGAAAACGGAAAATAGTATCGAGTTTCACCAAGAGTACCTATTTGGTGTTGAATTGAATGATGTTCAAGTTTATATCATATTTGGATTGAAAAATCTAACCTCAAAAAAGTTATGCTCCAAACTACTCGGTACGACCCCTGTAACTAGCGCCCTCTATGAGAGTGAGATATAGAAACAAATTCATGTGATGTGTTAGATTCCAAAAAACATCCATACAAAATTACAATGTTGCCAGTAGTTTCGACATAATCGTGAAAAATGTGTAAAAAAATCATTTTTTTCACAGAGCAAACCCAACTTATTTTGCAATGTTCTACCTACCTTAGCAAGGAGGTCAGGTTTTTTTGAAACACCCTGTATATATACCAAAAATATAAAATAAAAAATACACCTATAGTGTCACAATCCTTAGAGATTGAAATATATATACACACATCTTATACTCATTTACACTCAGTATACATGAGCAACACAACCCACATACCCACATGTACAGTGGTGAAATGATTTCATTTAGACGAATTTTGAATGTGTTTAGAGACGGTGAATTTTTTACTTCATTCGAGAGTTTATTGAAATCATTTAAGCCCTTGAAGAACAATGTTTTCATTGAGCTTAAATTTCGAGTTCGAGCTTTATGGAAATTGTTCACGTTACTAGTAGGATATAAGTGTGGAACTCATTATTATACGTAATCAATGAACTAAGATAACTTGGGACTAACTTTTTTGTTATTTTATAAATGAACACCATTGTCATGATGTCTCAAATGACTTCTGAAACTGCCAATGATGATTAATTTTTTTTGTAGAAACCTTCCAGATTGGTATAAGGGGGCCTTATTCAATGAAACTTACTTTGTAAGTGATGGTGGAACCCTTTGGTTAACACCCAAAGATGAAGAGATTAAAAATTATTCAAAGAATGATCCCAGGTTTGTTAAAAATTGTTCTCATAAAATGACTAATTCTCTGGTATGTTTTTCATTAGGAGAACTTATGGACATTTTGCTTACTTGGAAGGACAGGAGTACCTCATGTACAATTCTTATGATGTCCACTTTTATGCCTCACATGCTTTGCATAAAAACTGGCCACTATTACAGAAATGTCTGCAGTATGACTTGAGAGATTTTGTTTCTATGGAAATTGGGGATAAGAGGACCATGCTTTATGATGGTGAAGTTGTAGAAAGAAAAGTTCCTATTTCAGTACCACATGATGCTGGAAATCCCGGTAAAAATACAATTGAATTTTTATTTTTCTGTTCAAATGCTTTTCTACACTCATCAGTAAAATAATGGATCCACTCAAAATATTGATGAAGTTTGCTCTATAATAAATTTGTTAATAATTCAAATCAAATTTGATTGTTCCCTTCTCTATAGTGTAAGCGACTTCATAAGGAATCTGACACCTTGTAATTTATTATTCTATTATCAAGTTCATCGATATCAATAATATCCAGAATACTTTCAATAGTCAAAATTGAAGTAAATGGAATGGACTCCGTCATCGCGCTCACATTTTTACTTGGAACCAGTTTACACCAGACCTCACTGATAGCTTCGTTTTTATCGAGGTTATGTTCTCATTGTTATCTGTTTATTTATTCATTCATGATCACCGGTGACACAGAATCATGGTATACCCCTTTTTTCTCCTTTGTGTTTCTAGCAATATTTCTGAAATCTGGAACATCGAATTTGCTCACTAGAAGGCAGTTTCTCACATTTTTTTATACTTTCTTCATCTTCCTGTTTTCCTGGAACTGACATCAACTATCGATTTTCAAATGGAACACCCTATATTTTATTCCATAATCGGATAGTTTCCATATGCACAATGAGTGTGACAAAGAAAGAAAGTTTCGATATTACGTCACACCCATAGCCGTTTAGAATAACCCAATCAAACCTGGAATCGTCGAATTCGGTATAATAATTCTAACTGATTAGGGAATGCATTATAGGTTGTTCCATTTGAAAAGCGAAAGTTGGTGTCATTTCCAGGAAAACTGGAAGTTGAGAAAAACTTGATGAAATGTGAGAAAGTGCCCTCTAGTGGGCAGAAATATTGCTAGAAAAACAAAGGAGACAAGAGGAGTATACCATGAGTATGTGTCACCTGATATATCTGCGCTGTTTTTTTTTTATGTTCGTTGATTCATTTGTTCGTTGTGATTATCAGTGGTAATGGGAAATATTTGATTATTTGATTATTTATGTTCATGCATTTTTCTTCTGATTTTCTTCTGGTTTTCAGTTCGGACCTGTTCGGATGTTCAATTAGGAACGAAAATACTTATCATACCTTTATTCATACTAGAAAATGGAAATTCTTCTATCGGGATTCTATACTACATAAACATAGCTAATGTGTAAAACAACTTCCATGAAAAAAATCATATGGAAACATCCCAATTGTCACAATAACTTCATTTTGTGACAAAGCTTTCAGAGAAAAGTTACATTATCAACTTTTTTCCTCCATTTAACACCATGTACTAAAATGTTAGTAATTCTGAGGATCTCCAGAGATTATTCCAAAATTAGAGTTGACTTGTTCATGAATTGAAACATGTGTTGAAATGAAAAAATATTCGAATCAAACTCTAATCAAAAAAATTATTGATGAGCAAACTTCATCAATATTTTGAGTATATGGATTACTTTGAAGGTGACTGTATAACAATTATGTATTTCTTGACTGCCTTTGAAGATACTCAATCTATATTCACAAAAACTGTTTCCAAAGGAGAAGAAGCTCTGACTCTCATCAATGCCTACAACATTCATGATGTCAGCAAATGGAAAGACCTAAATCCCAAATTCATACTGCAAACGTACAGAGACGCATTCGATAGTTCTGGAAATCTTGATAAGGCATTCGTTCAAGATATGTATGACATTTGCAATCAGATCATGCAGAAATCTATAGACAACGATATGGACGATGATGGCCTCATTGAAAATGGCGGAAAACCTGATCAGACTTTTGATGCTTGGGTTATGACAGGTGTAAGGTAGGTCAAACCACCGAATTATACTAGGCTTGTTCGCTTTCAAAATATAAACAGTCTAAAACCATCAGGAGCACGCGCAATTTCACAGAACAGTATGCATTTTTCAAGTGGTAGATCTTGAAACCCATAAAAAAACAGTTGTAATTTGAAAACTTGACTTTTTAGTGCCTACTGTGGTGGCCTTTGGTTAGCAGCCTTATACGCCATGATATCTTTATCAGACGTACTTGGAAAACCAGATGAGAAAAAAAAATTCCAAGATATATTCGACAGAGCCCAACCCGAATATGAAAATAAACTCTGGAATGGGTTATACTACGAATTCGATTCTTCCACCACAGACCAATCCCAATCCATAATGGCCGACCAATTGTGTGGCCACTGGTATCTGAGGTGTTGTGGCATAGAAAGTTATGAAGTAAGCGATTATTTCCTTGAATTACAACATGATTTCAAGTATTTCGTTTAGGTGTTCCCGAAAAGTAATGTTAGAACTGCTTTAAACACCATCTACAAAAACAATGTACAATCGTTTTGCAATGGGGAAATGGGAGCTGTGAATGGGTTTTTGGCGGGAAAAATCGACGAAACTGCACTTCAAAGTTTGGAGGCGTGGACTGGTGTTACCTACGCTCTGGCCGCCACTATGATCCATGAGGTTAGTTTATGTTTCAGAGAAAAAATGTATTTTATTATTTGCTCTGATGTACATTTTTTGGACAACTATTGAAATTCACTACATTTCGTATCATGAAAAAACGCTGAAAATCGCGAGACAAAAACATCTCTGAAAATCCAATGCAACCATATAAGATTCGACTTACATATTCTATGTGTATGACAAGTGCAAGAATATTTGTCATTTTTATCAAAATATGAAATGAATTTTCTGGACTTGATACTTACGGCAGATAACAGAGAATACAACGCACAACTGAAGAATCAGATAATATGAGGATTATCTTTGCATATTCCCAGTTTTTATTAGATTTGACTGAAGATGATAGGTTTTGAAGATGAAGGTGACAGACGAGGATGACGTTAGAAAGTTAGGTTAGAATTATTTTCTTTTCTCGATATTTCTGTGAACTCTAAGCATTACGCTGTTGCCAGGGTCGCAAAATTGTTTAGGATTGAATAAAGTCTCGATCATTAAGAATATTAGGACTTTGTTATTGGCACTGGAACATCTTGCATAATGAATCAGTATTCAGTAATTGATTATTAGGAATATATCAACAAATATCACTATTGCCACGTGAGAAGGTGTATGATTTGATTTTAATTATTAAAAAAAATATTCATGATGATTTCAAATAACAAATGATTGCATCAAATACTATTTATACACGGACACGGAATGATCAATATAAAATAGGTATGTGGCGTAAATTCGACTAGTGTGCAGTTGTTTACAACCCCATTGTGATATGAAAACCGAGTTTTTGTGAAGCATCTCGGATATTGAAATAGCGAACAATATACTAGTGTGTTGAATAAACTATCATTTATTAATTGTTTTTTCTTAGGGTATGGTGGATGAAGGATTCAAAACGGCAGGTGGCATGTACCAGTCCATGGTATATAAAAGCGGTTTAGCTTTTGATACCCCTGAAGCGTTGTATGATGAGAAATATATCAGAGCATTAGCATACATGAGGCCACTCAGTATTTGGTCCATGCAGATTGCATGGGAGAAACTGAAAAAATCATCCACTAAGTAATATCATTGATGTAATAAACCTCCTAATATCTATGAAGATGATCATGCCATAGTCATTGTCGTTCTAGATGACAACCTAGTTAGGTAGTTAGTAGGCAGGAGCTATAATATTGTCTGTTCATTGAAAAGAAAAATGAAGAAAATCTGTATCTCAGAGACATCTACGTGAACTAAGTAAACTAAGTTACTCATTGAAACCCGACAATGAAACATTATCACGAAAGATATTAACAAGTAAGAAAGATAAAAGTGCACTTATCATAAGATGGTTTTTTTTCCGAGATTTTTTTTGGTACTTACGTATTTTCGTCTGAAAAACACGAATTTCACAATGAAAAAGTGCGAATTTTCACCTTCTTTTGCAACCTATCAAGGATATTCATTTACAACTACTTGTCCTTCTTTTTCCATCACTGGACACTTTATATACTCACGTTGTACTTCAACAACACATTTTATTTACTAAAATCAACAAGAAGTATAATGGTTTATATGGATTTTTTTCACATTTAGTGAGGAAAACAAGTTTGGTTTCACGAGTTCCTTTCAAATTTTTTTTGACATTTGACATTTATTTGACATCTCGTATTTGTATTTTAAGTTCCGTGATTTAATAATTGAATGGCCGTCAGCTGGTGTGATCGTTTACCTAACTTAAGTTAGTGGTTGAGTACAGATTCGAGAAAAATAAAAGAAGATAATGTCAACCTAATATTGTCTATTTTTGACATAAACAAACGAGCTCCTTCCATATTCCCTTCCCCAGCACGACTTGACAGGCAGACATATTTCGATTCACTGAACCATTGAACAGACAATATTATACCTCCTCGCACTAGGTCGCTTACTATAGGTTTTTATTTAGATCGACAATGCTATAGTCAACATCTTATAATATTATTTTTAGCAAGGAAAAAAAGTGACTGGATCATATGATATAGATTATAGATATATGTAAAATCAAACAAATCAGTATTTCAATAACACTTGTTTTTTTAATATAACAATTACAGTTGAACAAGATACCAGTTGACACCATTTACGTATTTGAAACAATTTAAATAACTAATTTCAAACTATATTACAATATGGAATTTATTTTATAATAAAAATAGTTCAAAGGCAAATCATTTATTGTTTATATTCCCTTTTTGTATATACATCCTTATGTACAATAAAATCAATACTGTTTCAGCTGAAATGATGGCGGAATATAGTAGTAAATATTTGCTAATATTGTCCGTCCATTACATGTAAAAATATATATACAGACAGCATTCACTAGACAGACCTACTGGAGAACAGTGTGCTTCGACAAAAAAACTATCTTGAATTTTTATATAGTACGTTACAAATACAAGCTTTAAACTTTTTGGACCTAAAACACAAAATCTCATGGACATGACGCGAACGACAGAGCTTACACCTTTGTTTCGATCATGTCCACATTCAACTTGTAGTATACGTAAGGGTAGTATTCTGATTGGCCGAAACCTAGGCCTGGAATGTCGACGCTCTAAAAAAATCAAACACGAGGCGATGAGACAATGTTTGTAGCATTTTCGATGGAAGCTCAAATTCAGTACTTACATCAACATTTGAACCCGGTAGGCCTGCGCTACTGTCCAAATGCCCGTACAGTTGATTCAAGACGTCTCTTAAGCGTTTGATGGATTTTTTATTAGGATGGATCAGGATCGCTTGGAAATTGACAGGTAAACCATATCTTGAAAAGTAAAATGTCTCTTTATCCATTAGGGAAAATACAGTTTTGATAACCACATTTTTTTGATTTGATAAGCTATGAATTGATCCTAAATTGTTATTTATACACCATTGTAGTAAAACATATCATTATTATCCAGGGACCTGGTATATTATATTGTTTTTGTCCACCACTAGCAATGTTTTTCAATCAATATTAGAAGGTAGGTACACTGTAGAACTGAACAAAGCATTTAGAAAACGCACAATTTTTATTTTTATGAAAATTTTGTCGTCATAACCGCGTGACCTTGACTGTCATTCTAGCAAAATTTTGATAAAAAATTAGTGAATGACATTTTTTGTTTTGCACAATCACTCAAAAGTGTCTGAAATTGTCTATATCCCATCAATTCGTTTTGAATCCAGACTATATGTAAGTTACTGGTAAATGTTCCAAACAGATCTGAACGAATTTTTGCTCTGCAGCCAGATTTGGCAGCTAACTTCAGCAGTCAATGATCCAAAAATGATGGTTGTAAATAAAATCGTATACAAACCTCGGTAGGAATAAGTTTCATTCCTGTCTCAAGATCATATCAAATCTCGATGCTTTGCATCTCAGTTAACTAATCTCACGACAGGAATGAATATGTTCCCACCTCGGTGTGTAATTACTCTCTTTATCTGGGTATCGGTATATCACATTGCAATATGAATTCAAACTGATAATAGCCAATAGGTGGCTGTCTTGATACACCACTAGTTGACTAAATGAAAAAAGCTACCTTGGTAGTTCACGACTTGAAAAAGAAAACGGAGAAAGCGGTGGTTCTATTGACACTTTTAAAACCATAAAGATTGAAAGCTGGAATGACTGCCGACCTAAAACTTCTATTCTGTTGAATTAGTCTTTCGGAAGAATGCACGTGAACTGATTCAGTTTAATTCTACTGAAATATGTCAGTTCAGATATTAAATTACGTGTGAGTCACCTGCCAGATATTGACAGATGGTTTTGAGCACCATCTTTCCTTGTTTTCAAATGGAGCAGTAAAATAGTTGTTTAAAGAATTTCCAGAATGAAGCAATCTTACCTTAGCACTGACTCGACGAAAACTCTCAGCGCCTTGACGTGAATCCAAGCGCAAAAGCACTCGCTAAAGTTGACTTTCAGCCATCTTACTAGAGGACCCTGAAAACCACCTCATTAGTCACAATCAACAATGTACAGGGTGGCTGGAATTAAATCCTCATCACTGGGATCTCGTAAACCGTGAAGATATTAAATACTCGTCAACCAAGTTTTCCAAGTCGATCACCTGGTAAGCGCTAGTTCTGAGAACTAGCATTGTCCTTCCTATTGTTCTTTATAATGCAGTGGTTCGCTTACGTCAGATGATCGTTATTGAAATCAAAAAGAACACGCCTAACCCCTGATTTATAAAGACCTTAACGCACCTCAACGTTATAAATCTACGTTCCACAATCAGTACCGTAAGACGATGAAATTTTCCGAGTATCATTTTCGGAATTAGCATTGTTTCAAAGCACGTGGATCAATCTGTTCAAGGTATTCCGATTCTACCAATGGATGATAATATCATGAATCAATTCCTAATGTAAATCAAACAATAAACCCAACCTCCCTGCTGCATGACGTTCTGTCACCGTTCCACAACGTAGAACGCATAAGTGTTTTGCGGAACGACATTCTATAAACAGTACTGGAAAAATCCTATGTTATCTTCTATGGTGTAACGAAAGATTAGAGCCTAGCCATAGCACCATTCATCATCGCCATCACCATAAAATTGTTTTGTAGTTTGTTTTGCCAGAAGCGTGGTGCTCATTAGAGTAGTATTCCTTCCTCCGAACGAAAAGACCGGGGTTCGATCCCTACTCCAGCTAATCTTTTTTTATTTATTTTTTTCGATGTAATTAATCGAAAAAATACTATGGAGGCATTAATTGGTTAGGCCTATAGTGATTCGCTATTTCAATTATGTTTCTTCTCAGGATCGACCGGAAATTTTCTGTTTCTCACGCCCAGCGAGCAGCGAGCGAGGCGCAATATTACCTCGCTATGGTGCTATGGCTAGACTCTAGTTAACGAAAGTACTTGCATTACGTTATGTTATCGAATCTATAAATCATGGGTAACTCACAAACTGCTTCTTCTTGTCCGTGACCAGCTTGGTGATCTCGTTCTTGCCGGCGGCCAACTCCTCCTCGTTGTAAGTGAAGTCCCTTACGATGAACTTCTTCTCTCTGGCGTGCAGCTTGAACTCCTCCACCACCTTCTTGAACAGTGATACCGTGAACAGGCCGTACTCGCTGTCCTGGATGATCAGCTGCGAGGATCTGGGCACTATCATATCGGTGATCTTTTCGTAGGTGGTGTTCCACTCGTGGAACATCGCCCTAGAACGATACGTGAGATACTATGTGTTTAGTACTTGTATGACCCTATATATTGTATAAGAGATTTTCATTTGCTGTTAACATAACGATGTCTTGTTGAAACAAGATTTATCAATAAAATCAATAAAGAAGGATTGCAATTGGAACATATTGGTCCTTCGAGCCGGATCTATTCAAATCAAACTTCAGCGACACGGTGAACAGACCGTACTCGTTGTCCTGGATAATGGAACTGCGAGGATCTCAGCATTTGCCAGCGACCTATAACTTATCTGGCCTTGAAAATAATGTAAAATCTGCTCCGAAGATGAACAACATACAGATTCAACATAGTCAAGATATATAACAGGCAAGTTTCCTTTAATCAGATTTTGTTGTTCAGCTTGACTTCAATATTTTTGCGAAACATTTTTTATACTAAATTTAAAATGGACAAAACTTTGAAAAGTTTTTATTTAAACGCTCTAAAAGGAGAAAATAAAATTTCATTTCAACTATCAACTTATGATCATAAAAGCTTGGAATGACGTCATATTATTTTCAGACCATGACAACATTTGAAAAAGAGGATTGAAAAGTAATCTAACCCTGATTATCGAAAAGTTTACCGACACAACTTTTCAATTTTTAATTTTTTGAAAATCATACACTACGTATAGGGTGGATCACCGAAAGTTTAGAATGTACTCACTTGGGTACGATGACCAACAGCGTCTGCAAGTATTCAGAGTCGAGGATGAAATGCTCCTTTTTCACCAAATCAGCAAGGTTGCGAGTTAAAAGACTCCCCCTGAAAGTAAACGGAACATGTTACCCAAAGCAATTAAGTAGATATATATTGAGAGAATCATTACCGGCATCACGGCATCAGGCAACCAATCACAGCGCTCGATATATATTGAGAGAATCATTACCGGCATCACGGCATCAGGCAGCCAATCACAGCATCTCATTCAATTAATCATTAAGTACGTGAAAATACGAGAATGAGTTATATAATTCATTTAAGACTAATCACTCTTCAATATTCCGCGGGATATCTGTGCTATATCATTTCATCACTATCAATAACAGCCAGGACCGACAAACCCAGTCAGCGCATCCTTTCATTCAAATATGTCGAACAACACTCTACTCTAGGCAATAATTTGCCAAGAACTTCCAAAAGCTAAAAAATCACAATACCTACCTTCTTTCCCTAGCACGATGTTCTTCGAATATTATAGGGATTACTTTTGTACGCCCCAAGAAAAAAATCTTCAATATTGCATCTACCTATTCAACTTTTCATAAGAAAGCAGAAATATTTATTCTTTCCACAAATAACTAACGCGAAGGCTTTTCATGAGACGTTCATGACGTTCATTGAAATAATTATTTTTCAACAGATGGCTTAAAGTGGGTTAATATTTTCAAATAGGATTTAATTCGCAAATTATTCAGCAAGTGATGGTGATTCTTATTAGCGAGAGTATAACGAATAGGTAAATTGAAACGAGTTTCGCAAATATGAGACAATTGTGCCATGTGGAATAATCATCTTTAATATACCAGCAGATGGTTAATTAGTCCAATTCAGTTTCAGTTAGGATAGGTCATGTCTTAACTGATGTTCAACATATGTAGGCGAAAAAAATTAATCGCGCTGATATCAAAATGGGGTGAAATAAATTTGCAAGATGCGAGTTTGGTGAATTGGTAGTAATGAATGTTTTATTCATGGTTAATTAGACCCATTTAGTTTCAGTTAAGATAGGTCATGTATTCCTTTTTATCTCATTACAGTTGATTTAATTTTTGAAGCGAAAAATTAATCGTACTGATAGGAAAATTGAAACAATGAATATGTAATTGTACCCATATGGTGCAGTAAATTTGCAAGATGCGAGTTGTTTGGTAGATGTTTTGATCTTGATGGGGGATTAGCCCTGAACAAATAAATAGTACTCGCACAAGCAGTCAAAGTCATTCTAGTACCGTTCAGAGATCGCATACCAAGAAAACTAAAGTTTCAACAAATTTAAAAAAAACTCAGATACTGAAAAAATGAAGACAAAAGTTTTGACCGTACCAATTCAGAGGAAAAAAATTGATATTTTACAGTATCTCAAACGTGACAAAAACTCAGATACGTTTCGAAATATTTCACCACAATTAAACCAGAGTGTCGAATTCGTAAGCGGCTCATTTAGTGATCACAAAGCAATGCCGTTTCGGCCATTAGCAGAATCAACCCCTCGACGTGGAAAAGTGTTAGTGCAGCCAGAATTTGAAGACATCTCAGATGTTTCGTCGGATGACGAAGAAGTTCAAGATGACGGAGGAGATGAAGAAACGGATGCAAATTTCATTAAAAAGGAAGGTGATGACCGTGAAACGAAAAAAGCAGAAAGTGGAAATTCAATAATTGAAGAACGAGATGAAGAAAAGTCTGAAGCGGAAAATGAAACAGATAACGAAGATTCAGAATATACTATACAAGATGGAGATCTCAATACTACCGCGGATTTCCTTGCTGATATACGAAAAGAAAATCAGAGGGATATGGATGAATTAGTGAAAAGGAAACTAGAAATAAGGAAAAAGCTTGAGAAGAAGAAGAAGAAATATCAAAAAAAACTTAGAAAGATTTGTGAAGTTATAAAAGATTTAGATGAAGTTGTAATTGTTTCTACAAAACTCAGAAAAGTAATGTAATTAGTTTGTTGATATTATAAGGGAAATTTTAACTAAAACATGTAATTTGTATTTTTCAAATGTTTTATGATTGATACTTTCTGAATTTGTTGAAACTTTAGTTTTTTTGGTATGCGATCTCTGAACGGTACTAGAATGACTCGTATTTTCACCAAATAAAATTATAATACAAATGACTTTGCATTACTGGAATTATTTTGAATCAAAGTGTTTGAGATTGAAAATCATTACTTAACTAGTAGAATTTGGTAAATGAACGTTTCGAAGAAATAAACTGTGTGATGTATGAACATATTCAAATACTCACTTTTCTATCACTTTCGATAGGTACATCCTTTCAAATCCATCTTGATACAAAGAACTATTACACTTTTTTTCATTCACATAAGAAATACAAAACATCACTTTTCTCTCACATTTCGATATACTGAAATAATTCTTTCATGGAAACAATACGAAAAAAACATGATTTCATGTTACGATCGCCGACCGGAAAACTGACTGAATTAACTGACCCAGAGATGCATGGCCAGATGTCTCCAATTAATAGTTAATTATTCATGATCTCTGTAACAAAGTTGGGAGCGGCTTTTTGTTTGGTTCAATTCGAGTGTTTCTATAACAGAGGGAGTGAGTTGTACAATTTTGTAGGCTTGGTTATTTTCAAAAGAGGTGACACCAGCTACTATACAGGGTGTACCTAAATAACACCGGAAAAATTCAAGGGGTGATTCCTCGTGATATTTCAGGAAATAAAGTTCATATAAACATGTGTCTTAAGTGGCTTCGTTTTCTAGATACAGGGTATTGATATTTTCATGAAAAATCTTTTTTCTATTCATTTCTCAATTGTCTTATCATCAATTTCAATAAAAAGTTGTGGTTTTGTTAATAGTAATATGGAGCTTCTTCTAATGCAATTGGATTCGAAATAATTTTGCCAGTGGCGTGACACAGGTTAAATTTATCGATATTCATGGTGAATGTCATTGTACGCCACCGGTTTTTGTGAGTTTCATATTTTTATCAGATTGAACTATCGAAATAACAACTTTTTCATTCTCTGTGTGATTTTTGTATCTAGCTTGGTTTTTGAGGAAACAATAAGAATTCGTTGTCACTCCAAATTTAAATGTAGGTGTTTTCGAGACTTCCATTGAGATTACTCAATAATCCCATTTAGAATCATTTTGAAATTTTGGGACTTTTTCTGTCCCCATCTATACTGAATTTTGACACCATGAAAGCTTATACAGGGGGGTTATAAATAAAAACAATTAATACTTCCAACTTCAACATCCTATATCTCAAAAACGTAGAAAGTTGGGACACATGTTTATATAAACTTTATTTGCTAGAATGTCACAAGGAAACCTATCTCGAATTTTTCCGGTGTTATTTAGGTACACCCTGTATATTGATTATTCAGTAAGACAAACGATAATTGTGATATTTACACCATACAAAATATACTGTATGTTGGAGACTATAATGAATGGAAAAATATGACTGAGAATAAATTTTATTGGAATTTCGAGTATTAAAAATAACAATTCAATTGTATTATTCTCTCTTAGACACAGATGGAACATAAAAATGGTATCAAATGAAAATATATCTTATTGGAAATCAATCTTTCAGCTATTGCACAATAGACAAAATCTAGTTAAACAATATATATATATCGGAACACTACAAATGTAGCAAGTATCCCTATATGCTACCAGGTGTACTGGAAAATTTGTTATATGTAAAGACTCTTGTTTACTGTCAATATTGGTTTCTGGGTATTCTGCCACTGTGTCGAAGTAACAGCTCGTACAAAATTTTTCTTCTTCCAACATGGTTATTCGATAATAATGTTGAATAAGGCAGACATAGTCTTGTGACCACCCGTTGAGAAACTGCAAACTGTCGACACTATATTGGATTCGGATCACTTGTTCTCCATCCAACTCGATCTCATCTGATTCCGAGAATTCATCGTCAACATTCAATGCATCGTCCACATTCATTTCGAACACATATATGGAATATAAACTGAGAATGAATTTATATATATAGGGAATACCCCCACGGGAATATGATTATAATTGTATCCATTGAAACAAAAAGTGGACATACGAATTGTAGATTAACAAAACAATGCATCAATTAATTCATCATTTGGTCAATCAACATGGGAAAGTGTAGAATAATCAATAAATCAACTCATTCATCAAAACAATCAAGTACATTGGTCCATAATGATTCATCAGATCAATTGATATTAATCAACGAACTCATTGATTTTGATGACTGAGCAATTATGAACATGTGGAACATGATTCATCAGACTAATTTATATTAATCAACGAACTCATTAATTTCGATGATTGAGCAATTGGGAACATGTGTGCAACATGATTCATAATGATCAATGTGATGATTCGTTAATCATACCCCCACTTCTCAAATTCAAAGGTATATAACTTATCACAATGAGATCCTTCACTCAGTTTTCGAATTCTAGTTGTGAAACACATATTATTCTGAAATGGACTTGTCGAAATCAACTGTGAATTCAAGTGGGCAGGGCTACTATACATCAAGTGTTCTTACCAGTGACTCGGGAGTTAGATATAATCTGAAAGAACATCATGAGAATAAACATAAATCAATATTGTTGGGAGAGAAGAGATTGCCTTTGAATAAATCAAGAAGCAAGTACGTTTCCATAGGATTATGCTATGAATTTGGCTTTAGGCCTTGCATCCAGATATCAGGACTCAAGAATGATGCAATCACTTTCAATGATCGTGAGTGGATGGATTTTCTCAAATATCAAGAAATCATTACAAATTATTTCTATCCTAGTGACCATCCAAAATCGTTAGATGGTGAATCCTTCCAGATATACTTCATGAAAATTTCGGAAACGAGTGTTGTTAAGATTCAGAAAAATAACTTTTATATTTTCTTGGGTTATGAATCCCTTTGCAAGTTGTGGACTCTATTGCCACTCATCAAATATCAAATGGAAATGATGGGGAGACTGCAGTTTACGAATTACCTCACAGTTTTGCAGAGAGCTCTTCAAAATCAAGATGGAGA